CAATATGAAGCTTTTACATACAGATAATGTAGAGAGACTAGATAAGAGCTAAAATAAATATTCTAAGTATCGATAAGGATGATATAGATTAATGGACACAGGAGAGCGAAACTGTGCCACAATAAAATGTCACATTAGTTGCATCTGTGTCCATTCACCTAACATATTTGTCCGTAGTTCTACCATTATTACTAAGGATAGCATGGCTAGATAGCAAGTGGAAAAGATGAAAGAAGTCTTGCTGAAAGACGATACACTTAGTTGAGATCATAGGCATAAGAACATAAGAAAGAACACAGCAGTAGGCCTACTGCCCCATGCGAGGCAGGTCCAAGTCTCCTACTGGCTTAAGCCAATGCCCCAACCTAGTGAGGTCAGGTCTCATTCACTTAAAGAAGGAGCACGGCATCTGACCTAGTAGCACAAGCTAGTCAGGTCCAACTCACACCTAGCTGCACCTACTCTTGTATCTATATAACCTATTTTTAAAAATATACAACGTTTTAGCCTCTATAACTGTACTAATGAGTTTGAACATCAAAATGGTACACAATACCCTCTCAAATCCAGCCGGATTTGAGAGGGACCTGACCTCCCACATCTGCGTTCTACTAGTGACCTACGTCTCACCTCCTGGCGCTATATAAGGCTCCATCCTGTCACTTCAACTCCACATTGTTTCAGACTATGGAACAATGCTCTTCTCCAGACTGAGGGACTGACCACCTCAAAACTTTAAGGGTGATGGACTGATTACATCGTCTTCAAGTATCTTCTGCTTCTATCAACTTTTCTGTACTCGACTGAAGAAGCCTACTGTGTAGGCGAAACGTTTCGAAATAAAGATACCTAACTGTTGCATATGTGTCTTACCTAACAAAGTAGAAGTGGGTAAGGAGAGTAGAAGTTTGAGGTAATCAGTCCCTCAACTTGGAATCGATGTGTTCCGTCCATCACTCTTGTAGGAAGTGCAGCACAGGGCCAGAGAGGTGGCTTATATACTGCGGTGAGATGAGTTGAAGCAGGAGGAGGCGGGATCACAGTGGGACTAGTGTAAGTAGGTCGTCGTCCAAAGGTTGAGGTTGGGCAATGACTCGATCCACGAGAGCACTTTTCCCCCAATGCCATGAGCTGCCACTTTCTTTAACAGTCTTTGGTGCGGAACTATATCAAAAGCCTTACTAAAATCTAAGTAAATGATATCAAATTCTTTATCGTGGTCAACAGCCTCAAAAGCTTTACTGAAGAAAGTTAATAAATTAGTTAGACAAGACCGGCCTCTTGTGAATCCATGCTGAATATCATTAATCAAGCTATGCTTATCGAGATGGCTTCTTATAACCTCAGCTATAATTGACTCTAGTAATTTGCCTACAATTGAGGTCAGGTTTATTGGGCGGTAATTTGACGGTAACGACTTGTCCCCTGTTTTAAAAATAGGAATTACATTAGCCATCTTCCACATATCAGACACTACACCTGTTCGAAGAGATAAATTAAAAATATTAGTTAATGGTTCACAGAGTTCCGTTTTGCATTCCTTAAGAACCCTTAAAAAAAACCTCATCAAGACCCGGCGACTTATTTTGCTTCAATCTGTCTACCTGCTTCACAACCATTTCACTATAAAAATTAATTACTGGAATATTATTAGTGTCTGCCTGTGTAAAAACAGAGAGAAAATAATTATTTAAAATCGAGCACATTTCATTCTCTTTGTCAGTAGGATGCCCATAGTTATTTTTAAGGGGACCTATCTTATCTCTAACTTTTGTTCTATAGACCTGGAAAAAACTTTTTGGGTTAGTTTTAGAATCCCTAGCAACTTTAATTTCATAGTCCCTTTTAGCTTTTCTTATCCCCTTTTTAATGTCCCTCTTAATGTCAATATACTGATTCATAAGATGACCCTCACCTCTTTTGATACGCCTATAAATTCCTTTCTTATGCCCTAGTAGATATTTCAGCCTATTACTCATCCATTTTGGGTCATTTCTATTTGATCTAATTTCTTTATAAGGGATAAACGTTGTTTGAGCAGCATGTATTGTGTTCAGAAAACTGTCATATTGATGCCTCTCTTCGTTACCCCAGTCAACAGATGATAAGTGTTCTCTAAGCCCATCGTAATCTGCTAAGCGAAAATCTGGGACTGTTACTGAGTTATCCCTACTATCGTACTTCCATTCAAAGCTAAATGTAATTGATTTGTGGTCGCTAGCACCGAGTTCCTCTGAAATTTCTAAATTATTAACAAGGGATTCATTGTTTGCCAGAACTAAGTAAAGCAGGTTATTACCCCTTGTAGGTTCTGTCACAAACTGCTTCAAAAAACAATCCTGAACTACTTCTAAGAAGTCGTATGATTCTAAATTCCCAGTCAAGAAATTCCAATCAATATGACTAAAGTTAAAGTCTCATAGAATTACTACATTATCGTGCCTTGTGGCCCTAACAATTTCCTCCCATAGTAGTCTCCCCTGGTCCCTATCTAAGTTTGGGGGATGGTATATCACACCTAAAATCAATTTTTCATGCCCCTCTGAAAATTCTATCCAAACAGACTGTTTGGGATCTTGGTACAAAGACTTCAACGCTTGCCCATCCTTTGGACGACGACCTACTTACACTAGTGGCAGGTCCCACTGTGATCCCGGCTCCTCCTGCTTCAACTCATCTCACTGCAGTATATAAACCACCTCTCTGGCCCTATGCTGGACTTCCTGCAAGAGTAATGGACTGAACACATCGATTCCAGGTTGAGGGGCTGATTACCTCAAACTTCTACTCTCCTTACCCATTTCTACTTTGTATTGGACTGATGAAGCCACTGTGTGGCGAAACGTTTCTTCAATAAAGATTCCCATGTGTTGCATAAGTGTCTCAATTCTCCAGACTCTGTCCTTTATGTAGAGTGTGAACAATAAGGGGCCCAACACTGACCCCTCCGAAACACCGCTCTGATTTCTCCCCATTTATGCAAACTCTCTGCTGCCTATTTGTCAACTATGCCTCTGTCAAGGAAAATAATTTTCCTATTCCATGTGCCTTAATTTCCTCAATAGTCTCTGAAGTGGAACTGTATCAGAAGCCTTACTGAAGTCCATATACACAATATCATATTCATTACCTTGATCTACCTCCTCAAATACCTTAGTGAAAGAAGTTATTAAATTCGTAATGCAGGAATGCCCTTTTGTAAAACCGTGATGAGATTCGTTGATTAATTTATACTTTTCAAGATAGCCACGAATTACCTCGGCAATTATTGACTCCATAGAATTTCCCACTGTGGAGGTTAGGCTTATTGGTCTATAGGTCGAGGCTAAGGACCTGTCACCTGCTTTGAAAATAGGTATTACATTTGCCATTTTCCACTAATCTTGCACCATGCCAGTTTGTAGTGATGTGTTGAAAAGATTAGCCAAAGGTTTGCTAAGTTCTTCTTTATATTTCTTTAGAACCCTTTAGAAATATGACCTGGAAGATCATGCTAACGATGAACAGTAAGTAAAGTAAAAGGACACAAGTGCAACTAATGTCACATTTTATTGTAGCAACGTTTCGTTGCCACAATAAAATGTCACATTAGTTGCACTTGTGTCCTTTTACTTTGCATATTGTCGGTAATTCTACCAACGATGTACAGTAAGAGAGAAAGAGAGAAAAAAACCATACCTAGGGCGGGGATAGAACCTGGGATCAGAGAGTCATGAAACTCCAGACCGACGTGCTAGCCAATCGTGTCATTAAGATTTTGTGAGTCATGAAGAGAGAAAAAGATAGAAAAAAAACAAAATAAGATTAAAAGACGAATTGCACAAAATATCAAAGTAATCCAAACAGCCACAATAACTTTCAATACCATTACTTCTACCACTGCTATTACTACAACTACTACTACTAACTACTACAACTACTACTACTACTACTATACTACTGCTGCTTGCTGCTAGCGCTGCTGCTACTACTACTACATACTACTTGCTGCTGCGCTACCTACTACTACACTACTACTGCTACTGACTATGATAATTTTACTTTCTACTACATATTACTACATACTACTACCTACATCACTGCTGTGCTTCTGCTTGCTACTATCACTACAATGCGCTGCACCTACTAATACACTACTACTACTCATCACTAACTATACTACTACTGCTACTACTACTACAACTAATACTACTATTTCTTGCACTTACTACAATACTACTGACTACTGCTACTACACTAATAACTACTACTACAATGCTACTACACACACCACAACTTCGTCTACATAATACTATGCTACTACTATACTATACTGCACTACTACCATTCACCACACACTACTATACAGACTACTACTACGCTGCAACACTACCATCACCCCACTAACTACAATCTACTACACTCTACAACTGCTCTACTTTTTACTAACTACAACTCCTGATACAAACTACTATACTTACGCTGTCTGCTACTAATACTACTACACTGCTACTCTACTACTACAACTACATACAACTTCTACTACTACACGCTATTACAGGTACTACTACTACTACTACTACTACTCTACTACTACTACTCACTACTACTACTGCTACTATTACTACTACTACTACAATTACTACTACTACAGTTTTACAGGTACTAACTACTACTACTACTACTACTACAATTACTACTACTACACTATTACAGTACTACTACTACTACTCCGCTCTACAATCTACTACTACTACAGCTAGTACAAGTACTACTACTACTACTACTACATACTACTACTACAGCTATTACGTACTATTACTAACTACTACTACTTTACTACTACTACTACTACTACTATTTACTACTACTACTACATATACTACTACTACTTACTACTACTACACAGCTATTACAGGTACTACTACTACTACTACCATTACTACTACTACCACCACCACCACTACTACTACTACTACCACCACACTCACTACCACCTCTACTATACTACTACTACTACTAGTACTACTACTACTACTACTTGTACTACTACTAGTACTACTACTACTAGTACTACTACTACTACTACTACTAGTACTACTACTACTAGTACTAATACTTGTACTACTACTACTACTTGTACTACTAGTACTACTGCTACTACTACTACCATTACTACTACTACTAGTACTACTACTACTACTACTACTACTACTACCATTACTACTACTACTAGCACTTCTACTACTACTACTACTACCATTACTACTGCTACTAGTACTACTTCTACTACTACTATCATTACTACTACTACTAGTACTACTACTACCATTACTACTACTACTAGTACTACTACTACTACCGTTACTACTACTACTATTACTACTAGTACTACTACTACTACTAGTACAACTAGTACTACTACTACTAGTACAACTAGTACTACTACTACTACTAATACTATTACTACTACTAGTGCTACTACTAGTAGTACCACTACTACTAGTACTACTAGTATTACTACTACTACCATTACTACTACTACTACTATTACTACTACTACTACTACCATTACTACTACTACTAGTACTACTACTACTGGTATTACAACTACTACTACTACTACCATTACTACTACTACTAGTACTACTACTACTACCATTACTACTGCTACTAGTACTACAACTACTACTACTACTACTACTACCACCATTACTATTACTACTACTACCATTACTACTACTACTAGTACTACTGCTACTACTACTACTAGTACTACTACTACTACTACTACCATTACTACTACTACTACTACTACAAGTACTACTACTACTACTAGTACAACTACTACTAGTAGTACTACTAGTACAATTAGTACTACTACTACTACTACTAGTACAACTAGTACTACTACTACTACTACTAGTACTACTAGTACTACTACTACTACATACTACTACTGTACTACTTCTAGTACTACATACTACTACTATCCTACTATACTACTACTATTACTACTACTACCATTATTACTACTACTAGTACTACTACTACTATTACTACTATCATTGCTACTACTACTACTACTACTACTACCATTACTACCATTACTACTACTAGTACTACTACTACTGCTACTACTAC